ATATTACTTAAGCTTTTAATATTTTGTTGAATTTTTTTTTATGCACAGGTGAGATTAACGAGTTATATTGTTTCTAAATGGGTCGATCATGATTGCCTGATTGGATTACAACTGACGTGGAGATTGACTTATATTGTTTTTGAATGGATCTGATCTAGAAATAAACTAATCCGTGACGAAAAATCGTCCCTAATTTCACTATGGGGGCTGAGTGGCTCCAAGAAATTGGTTATTAGTAGTTTAGTACTGCGTTTTTTTTCAACAATTAGGACATAATCTTGCAACTTTTTCAAAATTAAGACTACATACTTACGTAAGACCCAAGTACATCTAATTTGACCAAATTGCCTTTTCTTTTCAATTCCCCTGCGCATCAAACAAGCTTCATTGACGACGGCTTCTCCTCTCACGATTCATCAAACAAACATCGTCGATCTAGGCCAACATCACCGCTGCAGATTTCACCATTACCGATGTCGAAATCGCCGCCGCCGCCGCCGCCGCACCAGATAGCTGCTGCAATTGACTCCATTAGACGCCACCACCGAAGGTTTGTTCTTCTTCCACCTCTTCTTCTTCATCTTCTTCCTCTTTTCTAATTTTGGTCTTGATTTTTTTTGCTAATTTCGAACTTCTATTTCATATTTTCACAAGGCCAATGTGTACTCTGCAAAACTTTTGAAAAAACCAGATCCAAAACAAAACTTGCAAACACTAGACAATACGTAGACAGTAAGTAGTCAATAAACAGACAATAAGTTCTAATAATAGCTCAATAGCAGACAATAAGTAGACATTAAACAGAAAATAAGTTCTGATAATAGCTCAACAGCAAAGCAGGTAACGTAAAACTGGGAGGACATTGAACTTGACCTTAAAATTGGGAGGAATGGGCTTATTACAATCATCTGAGGGAGGATATTGATCTCAATTTCATGGAAATAGGAGAGGGGTCGCTAGAATCCGAATAGGAAGGGTAGGAGTAGTTCTCCATGGCCATGATTGCTGAGGGATTGAAATTTTGGCCTTTATGTGTGTGTTTAGGATTCCGGCGATGATGGGCGACGAGCTCTCTGACGGCGATGAACAGCGGCGAACTAAGTTTAGGATTTCTCTGGTGCGTGTTCTCCGTTGTTGACCTGCGGTGAAGAAGGGTACTAATGGAAAGCAACAATTATGTTTCCTGAAGTAATACTATATAACTCTTACGGATGGGAAAATGATAATTAAGTCCTCCTTATGTAAAGATGGTATATTTTGATCTTATGAACAACAATTTTCTCTTTTTTTTACAGAAGTACTCCGTATTTCGTATTAAAGCAATAAAAAACACTCGTACATAAGTTTATTTAAATTTTAGAGCTCCAAAAACGATGCGGTGAACGTGGATCGAACACGTGACCTTCAGATCTTCAGTCTGACGCTCTCCCAACTGAGCTATCCCCGCGATGTGATCTTTGAAGCTTACTACATTAAGAAGACCTACCTTCAAGTTGCGGAAAATCCAAACTATAAAACAGTCGGACTTTCTTCTACAAATCCGCCATTATTCCAAGATATACATTTTGTTTTATATTCTTCTAAAATTATTCTTTGTTTTTCATTCCTTTAATTTATGTTGATTTTGATTTTAATCCATCTATGAAAATAACAATATTCATTTATCAATGAAATAACCCAAACTAATATGTTTTCTCTCATTCTTTATCATGCTAAAAAATATTTAATTTTATTTTTAGAAGGTTGTTAGTACATATTCTAAAATGAGAATAATTTATTTTACATTGTTTTAACTTTCACATTAGTTTACAAAATTATCAAAGTATGCATTTAAATTATTCTAATAGTTTTATGTAACCAACAATATTTTTTTTCTAAATAGGGTGGTCTCGGAGTTAGAGATGGACTAAAAACAAAATAGTAAAGGAGTACATATTAAAGAGATGAAAAATGAAAATAAAAAATTTTGCAGAGACCTAAAATAAATTGTGTCATATTTGCATGAACTGAAAACGTATTTAAGCCTTTCAAAATTATTCTCACACCATCTTCTTCGACTACATCATGCACATTATTACATTGGAGATGTTCTAATCATGATAATACGATGTAAAACAATGTCAAATAGTATCACTACTATAAATTTATTTTTAGCAAAAGAGAGCTAGGAAGTCAAAGGAAATAATATATTTCTTTGACACATGTACAATTCAAAACAATATCTGTATATTGGGGCAGAGCCGCAGAGGAAGTATATTATTATTATATTTATACTCTGTATTATTACTTAATTAAATTTGTTGATACCATTAATACTACTCCATCTGTTTCACTGGACTTTGCTAACTTTCCTTTTTTTATTTGTCCCAAAATAATTTGTCACTTTCCTTTTAAAGCAATGAATTTATGACTCTGTTCATTTCTCTCCTCTGTACAAACATCAATCACACAATTTTTACTATTCTAATTTCTTATCAAACATCAATTTGGCAAAGTTGAGTGGGAGGGAGGTAATTTATGTTAGTTTCATCCTTGTGATGACAAATTATATCGTACGATCGGTTGTATCATGCACACGGTACATACGGTTTTTCCTTCACGCTGCACTTCTTCGATTCTTGCTTTGTTTCCCCTATCGCCATTTGCACCAGGCTCACTGATCTTCGCCACGGCTTACCCCTCACAATTGTCTCTTATCCTCCAGCACGGACGCAACACCTCTCCCTCCTGTTGCACAAATATGGCGGATCTTGTGATCTTTGTTGTTGGTCGTTGTTGTGAGATCGAAGAAGAAGACCGGGAGACGACCGATTGAGCCACAGATTAATGATTCTAGTTCTAAGAACGAGTTCGAGTTCGATATATTGCTGATTGAGCTTGTGAATTTGGGAGACAATGGGAGTCTGCTTCGTTGCTGACGAATCCTTGTTGTTATTGATCTCAAATGAGTTTTATATTAAACTCAAATGAGTGTATGCCTAAAACGGCTAAAAGGAATAAACATACACAAATGAATATTGAGCACATTAGAAATGAGTTTTATGTTAAACTCAAATGAGTATAACGCCTAAAATGAATGAGCATACGGAAATGAGTTTTTGAATTTTCTATACTCATTTTGTAAGTTATGTGTACTCATTTGGTATTGGTTTTATGTTCATTTTAAAATGTTGCGTATATCAAACATAACATACTACATTACATTTGCATATTGAAATTAATTTGAATTGATTATAGACATACTTTAGGCATTTTTTTATAAAAGCAAAAAAAAAGTGAATTAGAAGAAATAAAGCAGAGATTATGATATGGACTAAAACTCAGAAAAGGCTTGTTAGATTTGCTTCGGGGAAAAAGTTTTCAATGACCTGCCAAAGGTTTTGATTCCCCTACATATGTGGACTCCCGTCTCGATTGCCACAATGCTAAGTAGTACTCCCTCCGTCCCGCTATGATTGTCTCATTTTACCTTTTCGGGAAGTTCCATTAAGATTGTCTCATACCAAATTTGGTAAAGTTTGTGTGGTTCTAAATCATTCTTACTTTATTTTTACTTTATCAATTTAATATCAACCACACAAATCCACTTTTCTTAATAATCGTGTCACCTCATCTTGTCCCAATCGGACGGAGGTAGTAACCAGTAAGTAGGAGTTTTTTTTAACACAAATTGATTCCATTCAAACAAGTATACTTCAACTATTACTGCGAAACAAAAGAGACAATTAACTAATTAGTCCATATTCCCTGAATTACCCTTCCATGTCATGGTGATTATGGAGAAAATGGAATAATTACGATTCATTTAGGAAAAAAATGCGTGATATAACCCACACGATTCTTTAGATTGAGTGAATGAAACGAGGTATACATTAATGTTCCTCCCTGACACGTTTTATAAGATACAATTTTCTCAATTCAAATGTATGAACACTTCCGTAATATATAAACTATGTTAACTTTTTTATTTTCTGGATTTATTGTGTAAGCATTTTTTTTTGTTAATTTGAATTATAGAAACTTTTCCTTTATTTTCTTAAAATTCGTATCAAACTCGAGTGTATTTTACATTATGAGACAGACTCTAGTTATTACATGTTCTAAAATTTAATTGATATTGCAGTTAGTTGGATGGCAGCTAACTATGAATGTTCAGGCGCTGAGGTGCATGAGTGCATCTAAATGATACTCCATAGTCCATAAAATATTTTTTATCTGAATGATTTTTTTTAGAGTTTATCTGAATGATAATGTGACACCGTGTGGAATTTCGGTTAAAAATACAATTCATACATTTAAATTCCCTATTATCAACTACGTGTGGAATGATTAAGGCTTTATATAATGAATGATTAATCGTACTATCGTTTAGGCCCATATTCTAAGGATGGGTTTCCAAATACTTTATTGGGCCATCTACAAAATCATTCTAAAGAAACATTTATAACCCTTCTAGACCAAATAAGGAAGGTCGGGCAACCCAAATGTTATTTTGGGCCCAACCTGCTAAAAATAGTAAGTATTCAAAGAATGGCGTCTTAGGCCCACTCGAGGGTATCCCACACGGCTTGTAGCTCAAAAATATAAATGCAAAGGTCACAAATAAGTGAAAGGATGATCAGAGAGGAATAAAAACTCTTATGGTCCCATCTTTGACATTAATTATTGAGCTAAATAATGGGAGTATGGTTTCCTTCTATAATTTTCATCATATAAATTATTGGGATTATCCTACACATATTAGAGATCAATAATATAATGTATAAAGTTGACTTGGTCTAAATAAATTAGAATGAGTACAAAAGGACGACAAAAAGATAAAACAATAGAACTCATCTTTCCATTTTTGGAAGTATTGATAGATATTTTGGACCCCAAAATAATTGGGGAACACTAAGGTGTGTCCCTCACCTTCAGCACCTGCAAGACAAAGAAAATCATGTTAGCTGAGGGGAGGGGCGGTCATACTCTGACTTAAGGGCTGCACATGACAAAAGAGATCAAAAGTGAGACCCACCCATGTCTAAAAATATCTCATGGAGACCATACCAATTCATTTCACTCCACACAACTTATCCAACCTTATTGAAGGGTCTTAGACACTCCTATAAACCCCTCATTCGGACTCCCAAGGATAAGGGAGAAGGAGAGAGCCACACAACCAACAAAGCAAAGGAAAGAACAAGCTGTCCGCAGGGTAAATTTCCAGTGAGCAAGGTTGCTTGTTTGATTCATATCTCGAGCTATACTAATCCAAATAGAGCGTGTGAGGTGCCCAAAGAAATCTCTCAAGAAGAGGAATCCGTTAAAGTGCGGTTTGCAGCAAACGGAGTAGGCGAAGACTTCCAAATCGTTGAAAGAAAACACAGCCTCGCATAAACGGATTTGCCTCTTTATAGTAAGTTTGAACCCAAAACTTTCCTTTTCATTATCTAAGTGATATGAACGATTTGTGGAATTATTATACACTATTTCAAGTGTATAATATGTTCTTTATAAGGTTACTTTATTGAAGTAAATGTTAGATACTAACCTAGAACAAATCTTGAAAGGTTAGGGAATGATTTCCCCGGAAAACACCCATTCTTGGGGTTGTTTTTGTACTTTCGGTTAAGAGTTGAGCAAGCACCTTGAAGAGGCTGTTTAACACTCATTTCTAAGCAAGGAATCAGTTCTCAAACTTCCTTGGGCAAAGCTTTGAGCATTGCATTGAGAGGGAAAAGCTTAAAACTCATTTGAGGTGAGGATGACCGACTATATTGTTTATAATTAGTGAGTTGATTTCATGAGATTACCTAAAGTACTTAATCATGATTTTATGGATTATTAATGATTAAAAAATACCAAGGATGAGATGACTTGGTTTTATAAAGAAAAGGAGCATGATATACATATTTAGAAATAATTATGTATGATTATGTGTAATTTGTATGATGGCATGCTAATTGGATAACTATGAAGCTTGTTGATGAAATATACCTTTTAACTCGTATAATGAAGATTGTATGAATGACCAAAAGGATATTTTGTGTATTGAGATAAATTAGGTTTTTATTGGAAATCTTTGAATTGGCTAAATGACCATGGATGGAGAACTTGGTTGTTCTAATATTAATCCGACTATTATTAAAATACTAGTCGGGAAATTAATATGTGAATATGCTAGAATTGATCCTAAGGATGGTTTGTGTTACCACTTACAGTAGTCTTAAGAGACACTTTAATTAAAGTAACTTAATTAATGAAGTAGGGTTGTATGAATTCTAAGTGATACTAAGAGTCGGCCTTAAAGGCTACTCTAGATAACCTTAATTGTAAATTGATCTTAGGTATAGGATTGACCTACGGGTGTTTTCGGTAGTCCTTGAGGATACCCGAGTAAGTTGTAGTAAAGGAGTAAGGATCATGGCCCTCCCCCGACTCTAGAGAGCGGGGTTGGATAGCATGGACTTGCAGCGTGATCACGTGTAGGAGTGGAATCCGAACCGGAGATCTTACGAGACTCTGGAATGCGGTAACACTTAAGATAGGACCCCGAATGGGTCTTACCTTCCTACGGGAACAGGGTATGAGTCAAGAGGCGAGATGCTGGACTCCGACCGAGTGCCTTACGGGGACTTGGATGGCGGTGACAGGTCCTGTATGATTGATGTGACCTTTGGGTTGAGATGTATGAATTATAAATGTAACGAATTATCGCGTGGCGATGGAAAGGGTTTGTAGAAAATACAAATGGGCCTATGGGCCGACTATTTGACTTTATATACTTATGTATAATTTTAAAGGGGTAACTATGGGTTATTTCCTAAAAATATGATATCACCTTATGTTGAGGGTCTTAAGGATTGAAACATTAATTATGTGCAGTATAGTTGTCATTGTGCTTTTCAAATGCTTCAAAGTACTGACCTCCCCTTCATGGGGGAGGCCACCTCACAGTTTCAGGTAGAAGCTAGAGCTTGCTTCCTATACCCGTTGCTTCGGGAGTTCTTGGAGAGAAGACTTGGTCCGTGCTTCCTCCGTTCTATTTTCAAAACAGTTACAATAATGCTCATGGATAATATTTTATAATAAGCTATTTGAGGGCTTGTATGCCTAAGTTTGCCAAGTGTGGCTTTAACACTTGTAATATTGTTTCCGCTACTTTAATGAATATGTTACATTATGTTTGTTTATGGATGTACTATGTGTGAATGATATTCCAGACGCCTTGTATAGTATGAACGTGTTAGACTGCGGTTGACTATTCGTACTGTACGGCGAGTTGTTGATGTGTCCGGATAGGTCCGGGGCATGTCAATTAAGTTGGTATCAGAGCCTTAGTCCATAAACTTTATAATGAAGTCTCAAAATTCTCTTTTCAAAATGATTTTGAAAACCATGAGCATGAGAAATGTTTTGTACTCAAGAACTTTAGGTGTTTGAGTTGCAAGGTCTCTAATTGTTAAGATGGCGTCCTTAACGATTGGTATGGCGGTGACTTGGCCCAAGAGATGTCTTAAGTGCCTATCTGTGAGTTGACATTTGAAACGAGTCTAATGAATCATTCTAAATATTTCTTTCAGCGGTGGGAGGTGATGATGACATTATGAATAGGGAGAAGAACTCGAAAGGGTTTGCACCGGGTGGAACCGGGCATGCCAACCGAGAAGAGTCCTTAGTACCAATGGTTCACGAAATTCTGGAAGCTCAAATCGTGAGTGTTGGTCATGTTAAGACCAAGGAGGAGTCACTTTGTAAGGGCAAAACTAAACTACCCAAGGCTTTCGGTGACGAAGGGGATGATTTGAGTGATGAGGACCTTGACAATGCACCAATTGAACAAATGCACATGGTCATAGATTGGCTTCAACATGAACGTGTGAGGCTTATACAAAAACGCCAAGCTACGCAAGCTGAGGGCGTACCATTAGTAAGGAAAAGGAAGTGGGGAGACAACAACTCCCAAGGGCATTCTGGGGGGACAAACGATGAAGGGGATAAAACCTTCAGGGAGCACACACTACCGCTGGGGTGGAGTCAAGGCTCGGGTGGCCAGAACTCGAGGTCAAAGGGTTCGGGGATACCTAAGTGCAACAACTGTAAGAAGAACCACTCGGGTAAGTGTCGAGACCCTCCTAGGTGCTATCGATGTAGAGAGATTGGACACACGAATGCGAGTTGCCCATAACTTGTACAAAACCAAACTTTAGGGTCAAGTAGTAGGACTACAGGCAACGAAAACCAAACCGGGGCTTCTCAAGCAAACATGGGACATGGGGGAGCAAGTCCGAGCAACACGCCATCCGTGAATCAAGGAAAGACTCAAGCTAGAGTCTATGCGATGACAGATGTGGATGCTCGCGCAAACCCGGATTCCATTGTAGGTAATATCTCATGAAAACATGGTATTTTAGCCTTACGTACATTGTATATGTTATTGGGGTTAAGGCCCGGCCACCCTAGGGTCAAAACGGGGATTTTTAGTGATGAAACGTGCAAAAAAGGGGAAACCGGCGCCGGACTTCTCCTAACCGGCGCCGGAGATAGTGAAATCATGCCGGAAAAACAGCCCCAACCGGCGCCGGTCCACGGCCAACCGGCGCCGAACCTATTATGGAAGAGGCTATTTGGGATCGGCCCTCTCCAACTGGCGCACAAGGGCATTGTTTTTAATCAACCGGCACCGGCCACTGGCCAACCAGCGCCGGACTGCCCCTGGGTTGCGTCTTTATTACACCGGCGCACAAAGAACCGGACCATCTGGCCAGTAATCGACCCACCCGGTGCCGGTAAGTGTTAAACCGGCGCCGGTCCAAAAAAATTGGGCTTAGTTCATTTTCGCACCTGTTTCCAACCGTCCCTTCTGACGGGCCCGGGAACTGACCAACCGGCGCCAGTCAGCCCTAAACCGGCCAAAAATTTTCCGTAATGAAGCGGGACCCATCAAGATAAATTGATAATTTTTCATTCCACATACATGCTCTTTGCCCCATTTCTTTCTTCTTTTTTCATAACGCATGTGAACTGTTCACATGCGTTTTTTAAATAAAACTTAAACCTAAATGATGCTATTTTAAGTATGGGAGTATGATGTTCACCATGGACCGCTCTCACGGTATCGCAACCGATATTTTTGCTGTGCAGGGTGGAGAGTATATAAGTTTTCCTTAACATGAAAATCTCTTAATAATTGTTAGAGAAAGTCCCCGAAATAGGAGTAAATAGGTTTGAGAATTTTAAAATATGACTCATATGTTTTTCTTCCTTAAATAATAATAACATGATAGTATTTACGGTCATCTTGAAGTTATTATTATTAACAATATAGTTGCAGTACTAGACATTAACATGACACTATTTACTGTCATGAAGGACAATATTTTCAATCGAATCAGTAACAACTCTTATTTCGAAAACAAAAACATAAAAGTTATGCTTTAGTATTATAAAGTGTTTTACTTCTATTTAGATCAAATTTCTTAATTGTTATCCTCATTTTTATGGGGAAATTTGACCTTTAGACCTATGTTTAAAAAACCGACCCGACCCGGCCGGGTTGACCCGGAACCCGGTGACCCGGATAAAAAACCGGTTCGGTTTTTTCAAAACCCGGAAATGGTCAAAAACCGGAAAAACTCGGCTGACCCGGGAAAACCCGGTCAAAACCCGGATCCAAGAAACCCGAAAAACCCGGTAAAACCCAGTTTTTGGGTGTTTTTTACCAAAAAAAGTAATTTCTTTTTTATTTTTAATGCATTTTTATACCAATAAAAATGCAATTTCAATACCTTGAAATGAAAAACTACGTAATATATTTATATATTTATTTAATAATGAACATCATGCCAAATTATAATATAGATATACAATAAAAATAAAAATATCATTATATATTTTTATAAGATCAAAATATGCATTGAAATATTATAAGAGTGTAATAATTGCTTAATAAGTAGTATTGTTAGTTGATTATTATGAATAATAACTAATTTTTATTATAATTTTATATATAATTATATGTTTACTATTATTATATAGACGTATAATCATTGACCGGTTTTCCGGCGTTGACCGAGTTGACCCACCGGGTCCGGGTTGACCCGTGACCCAGTCATGTGGCCGGGTCACTCTCCGGTCCGGTTTTTACAACATAGCTTTAGACAATATACAACTTTGCACCATATTTTCAAAACCATTAATGCATGTTACTCTATTGGCCCAAAAATTGTGAAGGAATGAGATGTAAAGCTAAATGAATATATAGCAAAATGCGGTACCGCACTAATAATTATGAAAATAGAGTGTAAAGTCTAATATTGTCCAAAAAGAGATGTGAAGTCAAATTCCCCATCTTGTTTAGCGTAAAAAGTGCTCTTAATGAGTTTTGTGGGCAAAATCGACCCCATCTTTCATTTAATTTTCTATAAGCAATTTCCCAAAAAATGTTTTTGAGAAAAATAAAATTTAGACTCCATACTTTTTTTTATTTTTTTTATTTTTACCCCATGGGGGGGGGGGTCAAGGGAGGGGGCCTAGAGACAAACTGGGCTCAAACTCCTTCCATGGAATATTGAACCTGGAAACTCCCACAAAAGTGAGAGTCAACAAACCAGCCAAACCTTCTTTATCTTTCTCTTTCCCAAAGAGAATAAATAATAGAAGCATCCTAACAGTGGAACCATAATGCAATAATATGGCACTGATATTTTAGAGCATCTCCAATGCTACAACGTGCACGGTGCACATGTGACATGAGAGATATAGACACAAAATATTGATTTTATGACATTTCTCTCTCCATCTTTCCACGATCATATGTGTTTTTGGTAAGTTTTTGTCTGCAATGTCAACCACAATGTCTACATCTAGACATTGTGCTTGACATTGTGAAGAAAAACTTACCAAAATGATGTAAGATCCTTCAAATAAGGAGAGAGATATTCTATTTCTCGTTTTTAATCGGTTATTTCTCATAAGAGTCATAACACGCATGCATCATTAACGTTTTCACATTGAAGCTGCTCTTATACTAATGTCTGATATTATTAACATTGTTATAATAATGCCAAGTAATAGTAATATTTTAGAATAGTAATATTTTTTCCTATTTAAGGAAAGAAACATAGTACTCCTACTTAGAGGAAAACATAGTACTCTTAATCAAGGAAAAGAAATGCAAGATCCCCGTTTTAAGAAATTTCCCTAACA